TGAGCTTAATTTCATGTGAACCTCAATTTGTAGAGTGGATTGTCCCATTCAATAGTTTCCTTATAATCTTGGACTGATCAAATTATCCTTATTTACTTCAGAATAAAATATGTTATTTTGTAGAAATTTAAATATTTACTTTCTAGAAGTCGCAGAAAATGGCTAATTCAAATTTAACATACAAGAATATTTGAAAACTGAAAATCTGCGAAATTTGAAACTGAAAATCCACGAAACCCAATTAAAGCCAGTTTACAAACTTAACCAAAGATGTCGCTAGTGTGCAAATCAAACTTGACTCAATAATCTCATTGTCATGGATATGAACTCACTACTAAGTTTAATAATTAATAATTTGATGATTACGGAAAAATTAAATGTGGATTAAATCTTAATAAAAGAACTTACTAGATTTTCACCAATTCCATTTTTGTTAACAATCCTGCATTTGCTTATTATTGATTTTGCTTTTATACTCTAAATATTTTAATGTCCACTACTTTTCTAATTTAATTTTTAAGGCTTAAACTTTTGCCAATTTATGATTTTACAACTGATATGTTTGAAAAAGATTTAATATATAAAATGATACACATCCTTAGCTTCCATGTCATTTCATCTTACTATCCATTAATTTTCTTTAATTTTCATATATCTCCACTCTAAAATCATGAATAGAATTCAATATAAGAAATTGGAGGTTTGAGAACTACAGAGTAATGAATCACCTAGAGACGTCGTTGATATTCATTGGTAGCTAAACAGCAAAATAAATATAATGGTAGGTTATATCTTATAATTTATTTAAGATAGAAGACTATATATAATTATGGAAAGATACCTTGTTTATGTACAGTTAGATGGATATATGATAGATATATGGGTGATGTATGGTAGATAATTAGATGTATAAATATATAAATAGATTTAAATATTGTTAGAGGTTTAAATAGATGAATAGCTAGATATAATTGTAGATATATAGATAGATAGACAGATAGATATGTTGGTAGATCTGTAGTAAATGCCATACTCTTATAATCGTCCCAAACTCTATCAGTTCAGGCACAACCCGTCCGCTATCAAAGTCAACCAGGACACAACCCACCTGGCTCTAAATGCCACACAGGGACACAAGCCTAGCTATCAACAAGCAATATCAAGCCTAGCTATCAACAAGCTATATATCGATCCCAAATGATTGGGACGATCCAACCTGTTTATCAAAACAGGTTTCTATTTCTTTGGCTTTAAATGCCACACAGGAACACAAGCGTAGCTATCAAACATGCTATTACTAAGGCTCTAAATGCCACACAAGGACACAAGTGAAGCTATCAATCAAGCTATTACTCCGACTCTAAATAAATATGTTCAAACTGCATTTATTACAGATCTATGGATAGATAGATAAATTGGTGGACATAAATAAAAAGATTGCAAAGGGTATATTGGTTATGGATATATAGATAACTAGATACATTGATAGATGCATAGATAGATAGACAGCTAGAAATATTGGTAGATGTATAGATTGATATATAGCTAGCTAGATATATTGATAGATGTATAGATAGATAGACAGCTAGATATATTGGTAGATTGATAAATAGATAGAAAGCTAGATGTTGGTATATTCATAGATAGATGGATAGCTAGAAAAATTGGTATATAGATAGATAGATAGATCGATAGATATATTGGTAGATGTATAGGGTGGATCCTGGACTAGAAATACTGATAAGAATACTGGTCAATTGAGCCATTCCTCCCAGATACCGTGGTTCAAACCCGATATACTATTTATATATTAAACGACTTTTTTATATATATTTATCTTGTGTTTTAGCAATCTCCAAAAATTGTTCATTTATATTGTGCGTTAAGTGTAGATGGAATATTGAAGACTATATAGATGGAATATTGAAGACTATATAGATGGAATATTGAAGACTATATAGATGGAATATTGAAGACTATATAGGTGGAATATTGAAGACTATATAGATGGAATATTGAAGACTATATAGGTGGAATATTGAAGACTATATAGATGGAATATAGAAAACTAAATAAATGGAATAATGAAAGACTTTTTAGATGGAATATTGAAGACTATATAGATGAAATATTAAAGACTATATAGATGGAATATAGAAAACTAAATAAATGTAATAATGAAAGACTATTTAGATGGAATATTGAAGACTATATAGATGAAATATTAAAGACTATATAGATGGAATATAGAAAACTAAATAAATGGAATAATGAAAGACTATTTATATGGAATATTGAAGACTATATATATGGAATATTGAAGACTATATAGATGGAATATAGAAAACTAAATAAATGGAATAATGAAAGACTATTTAGATGGAATATTGAAGACTATATAGATGAAATATTGAAGACTATATAGATGGAATATAGAAAACTAAATAAATGGAATAATGAAAGACTATTTAGATGGAATATTGAAGACTATATAGATGGAATATAGAAAACTAAATAAATGGAATATTGAAGACTATATAGATGGAATATAGAAAACTATATAAATGGAATATTGAAGACTATATAGATGGAATATTGAAGACTATATGGATGGAATATTGAAGACTATGTAGATGGAATTAGGAATATTAAGGTTATTAAGATGGAAGAGACTTAATTGAAATCTGTGAAAGGTAAAAATAAGCGGATAGAATATCTTGAATGGGCGGGAGTCGGTGAATAAGGTCGGTATTCTGTGTTGTATCGTTGGCCCGGGGGTAGAATTAATTTGTTGAATTTATAATTTTATGGAAATAATTTAAATAAGTTTGATCAGAAAAGCTATTAAGAACCCGTGTTAATTGCTTCATTGAAGGAGTCCATTAGAACGGAATATTATATTTATGTTTGAACCCTGCGTAGAAACAGAAAATAGTTAAGCAGAGTTAAAACAAACTGAGCTGAAACCATGACTATATAATAACGTGGTAGCTACTTTTTACAGTGAACAAACTTGATATTTGTCTGAAGGGAATTAACGTTAAAGCACGTACACAGATACAGAAAGCTGTGCAAATTATGCACCAATTATCTAGACCGGGTCGACTTTGAAGTGTCGCACCCCTCATGGCCTTTGGTTTAAATTCTACTAACTTACTTTTTTTGAAGCCCTAGCTGGATATGCACATGCTAAAACTACAGCGCGTTCGCTTTAATTTTAAAGGCATAATTGGAAAAATACTGATATATATTTGCATGAGAGCATGATATATATTTGCATGAGAGCATGATATATATTTGCATGAGAGCATGATATATATTTGCATGAGACCATGATATATATTTGCATGAGAGCATGATATATATTTGCATGAGACCATGATATATATTTGCATGAGAGCATGCTCTATATATTTGCATGAGACCATGATATATATTTGCATGAGACCATGATATGATATTTGCATGAGAGCATGATATATATTTGCATGAGACCATGATATATATTTGCATGAGAGCATGATATATATTGATAGATATAGTAAAAAAGCTAGATTACGTTTTTCTTCTTTTTGTAAAGTGCATATTTATAAATATCTAAATAGCTGTCTTGTCTATCGCGCACTACAAAGCGTGCAAGACTGCAAGAAACAATAACAATATCTAAGACTAGTTTTATACTATGACAATCTAAATTTGACAGACAAACGCATCTCAAGTTGTGTTCACTGTAGTTAACCCTGTGGCTGTATGACGATTATTGAAGGGAGATCTGTAATTCTTAATACTCTGAGGTATAAATATGCATACTATGCATATCTTCAATATATATTTTTAACCATCTTATCTAATCCTAGTTTAACTCTGCGACGGTAATCCACCCTATACAAATATGTAGCGCGGCGTTAAAATCTCCTTGAAGCCGTGTCGGACCACCAGGGTGCGCACTAATTACACAACACAAAGAAATAGTCGTAAAGTCACACTTAAGTGGAAAGAATAGGTCACACACAAACAAAAGAGGAAAAACAATTTTCCTTGAATTTGAAACAGAAAATAAAACAATTTTAACACAATTCTTTTAGTTGTATGCATCTTTATTCTTCAGCTTAGTCTCTTTTTCATTTTTTTTTTCATTTCTCATTTCTTGATGCTTTGACATTTTCCTTTTTGATTTCCACAACGGTACCCTTTATACAGTATCCCTTTAAACAGTATCCCTTTAAACAGTACCATTTAAACAGTATCCCTTTAAACAGTATCCCTTTAAACAGTATCCCTTTGAACAGTATCCCTTTAAACAGTATCCCTTTAAACAGTATCCCTTTAAACAGTATTCATTTAAACAGTATCCCTTTAAACAGTATCCCTTTAAACAGTATCCCTTTAAACAGTATCCCTTTATACAGTATCCCTTTAAAAGGTGCAACTTTAAACGATACCCTTTAAACAGTATCCTTTTAAACGATACCCTTTAAAGCTTTGACTGCTCAAGTATGAATGAGATAACAATGTTTATAATTTTGAAAACTGATTATTTCCACATGGGGTTTCTCTGCAACTGTGACTTGCGCATTTCTACTGCAGGAAAAAAATATAGAAATTATCAGAATTAACACTTAAAAACAACCGTAGCTTTCACATTATTAATCAGATAAAGGTTTCAACGGTACCGTTGTGAATTGGGATTTCTTTCTGTGCATGGAGATTCGACACTTGAAATTACGCTTACAGTCCCTTTAACTGTTCATATTATTTCCCTATTGACCACATTTTTCTGCAATTTCCTTGACAGTAGTCATGTTATGAGTCTGTATCAATAGACTGCGTGTGTGTGTGCGTGTATATGATAACGAACTCGTCTGCAAAGCAGTGCGAATGGCTTTCTCATGCCAGACCAGCGCCATTTCCCTTTATTCCCTGGTGTGGGCAACCTATTATATTGTGTTGTGTATACAGGGTGTTCCAAAAAAGCTCGAAATCTAAATTTAACAAAAAAGTTTAAACATCAAACAAACATTTTATTTCTTTTATTTAATTGTATTAAAAGATTACATATTAATACTTAGTCTGTGAACTCTTCAGTCCCGAAACCAACGACATCAAAAGATGCCAAATCACCTAAAAAGTTTATAGTTTTGAATAAAATTAATTTTGTGCGCAATATATGCTAAAAGAGATGGTATTTCTAACAATAAACATTGATTTTATAGATATTGTATTTACAGATAGAAGACGTATGGATAAAGAAAAATAGATAAGAGATTATAATCAATTTCTTGAAATCAACATCATCTAGTTTTTCTAATACTGTTTAAGACAAAAAATTGTAATTGTTTCTTTGTATTAACCTCGATAATAGAGATTATGCTGGCCCCTATACACAGTCCTAAACATCCTCCAAGGTTCCCAATAAATGCCGTCCTAGCGAATATTTTTTATTTAAAGTTTTAAAATGTAGGGCAGAGATCTGTATCGTTTTAGTGAACGAACAACATTTTTCGAGAACAAACGAAATTTTTTGTGAACGATAAAAAACGGTAGTTTTTTTAAAAATGAAAAAGAAACCGAACGAAATAGGTCGTTTACGAACAATGCACGGACGAAATGAACCCAAAAAATTCAGTTGCTAGCTATGTGAATTGTTTGGGTGGGAAGGGGGGGGGGTATGTGTTAAGTTGTTCAGCTAAATTCTTAGACTATTGTCAGTTGCTTACCAGCTAAACTGTTCATCTGAACTAATCTCTAAGATGTAAGGTTCTCTTATAAATACGTTTATAACAGCTATATTTTCTCTAATGTCACAACTGGATTAAGTCCCACAATCATACAACTACAGGGTTACCCACTTCAGAGACGATGTTTAATCTGCATTCTTGCACTCTAGGTTTCGTGTAGGATAGAACTGGATTTCTTATGTGCTTAATAGTTTAGTTAACCATAAGAATACTGGATTGAATGCAGAAATAAAAAATCAAGCTTTCAATCGTTTAGATTTTTTTGTCGTCTTTAATCCTTTCAGGGTAACTCTGTATACTATTGCGTTTTACCACTTTTTATAGTTTCTATGTGGTACATTTTTATCAGGAAGCTAAGAAGTTGTTATTGTTGACAAATTGTAGGCTTTGACAATATGCTTTTATTAAACTAAGCAACTATTCTTGTAATATTTTTATTTTTACAAAAACTGTCAAATGTTTGAAACTATAAGAAGTATGTTTTCTGAGTCGGTTATGTAAGCTTTTTATTAACATGAAAGAAAATTAAATGATTTTAAGGTTACGGACTTCATCAAAGACGACATTTAATCCAGTTGGTTTCCTCATGTATTTTACAATTGTATCTTTGAACTGATCAGACTCTTCAGGGTCGGAACTGAACATAACAAATGTGTTTCAAAATTGTATAAAGCATGGAATACTGCTATTAGAATTCTTTTTAATGTACCTAGAGATACGCATAGGTACTTGATTGAAAGTATTTCACAATGTTTACATGTAAAAACTATGTTAGCTTGCAGATGTGTGTTTTTCTATGAGACTATTGAAGCAAGTTCTAAGCTTTGCATTAGATTTCTTTCTAATTTATGTAAAAATGACCTCAACACAGTTCTTGGCAGAAACTTATTTTCTATTGCAAATGATTGTTCTGTAAATCCTCCTTTTAAGTACAAGAATGAATAATTTATATGTTGAAGGATTCGATGATTACGTAATAACTGAAATGATAAATATGTTATGTAATGAGTAATAATCAATGTTTTCTATTTGTGCATAATTTTGCATATTTTTTCTCTTTTCTTTGGAAACCTGTATTTTCAAAAATTTATTTAAACAAATTTAAACTACACCATTTATATATGTATTTATATCTTTGTGTGTGAATAAATCTTTATAATATAATATAACACAGCATTAAATATGCACTGATGAAACTTTCAAGGAAGATTTCTCAACAAATGAAAATAACGTTGATAACGAAGAATTGGTTGAAAACGCTTGATGCCTTAAAAGCAGAGAATTTCATGCACATTTACAGTACTGCAGGGTGTCCCAAGAAACATGATAATTAGGAAATTGTTTTTAAAATGTTTTTGTTCCATAAATTTTTAAGTTGTTTGACACCAAAGAGAAAATTAAAAATATTAGATGTTAGTTATATTGTAGTAAATAGAGATCAAAGTAAAATTATATCTTAGATAAGAGATTTATTTAATGAAATAAACTAGAAAAAGTCTTTCATATCAAATACAGGATATGGTAGAAGACTTTCAATTTTCAAAGTTGTCAACCTTCTCCTCCAAAAAGATTCTGTAGAGCGAACTTTGATCATCTTTCTCAATTTATGGAAGACGACATTTGAATACATTTTTATTTACCTGTATTTGGTTCCATTATAGGGTTCACGTATAGTAGAGGAACAGGCTCCTGTATCCATAGCTTGCTTTACACCCGCACATATATTAGGATATATCCTGAAATATGTATTTATATCTTGTAATATGTTTTATTAGTATAACATATCAGCTGTAGTCATGATATGTTATATTACTAACATTATATGTATTAGGATATATCTTGTAATATGTTTTATTAGTATTATATCATGTCATCATGATTTGTTATATTACTAACATTATATTGTAATAGGATAAATCCTGCAATATTAAAATATTTCATTTAGCATGTACTATGCTAGATAAAACAGTTATTTTCAAAACTTCCATGCTTTAATTAATAAATACGTATGTTGGTAAACTTTATAGTTCTTAAAGACATATTTCTAAATTAAAATTTGATAAATTTGATTAATAAAGTATATTATAGAATTGTTGAATTTAATAGCTTACTTCTCCACCGTATATTATAGAATAGTTGAATTTAATAGCTTACTTCTCCACCGTATATTATAGAATAGTTATATTTAATAGCTTACTTCTCCACCGTATATTTCCGGGAAAAATCTGCGCAGGTTCTCTTAAATAAACACTTTTGGTATTGGGAAATAATTATTGGGAAAAACATAATAAAGGTGGGAAATAATATTTGGGAAAACATAGTTATGAAAACAGAATTTCCCAAAAATGACGAGACTTACAATCCGAAAACTTTTAAAAAAATTGATTTTACGGGTAAATTTGATTTTACTACCTTAAACTTCTCCTGGTTTCTAAACGATTAGACAAAAAATATTATATTGATGTGATGCAGGGTAACCAAAATTGTAAGAAATGAACCATCATAGATAAATTTGTCTGTCTAAAGTTTTTTTTGTAGTTGATAAAACATGTCTCAGAAAGGAAAAGTTGGACTTATACAATATACATAGGTTAATTAAACAACAGATAGGATACTAGAATCTAGATGTCGTCTTTTAAAGATTTATGTGCGTTTCGTTCACAATAACCTTTAGGCAGAAGCCCAAAGGAGTTACGCGTAGTCAGCGTAGAACATTGATAGCCTGTTCTACGCCGACTACGTGTAACTCCTTTGGGCTTCTGCCTTAGGGTTATTGTGAACGACACACACTTAAATCATTAAAAGATGATATACAGTGCTCTATCTGTTATTTTAACATATCATGGACGTAAAAATGAAAAGCACAATGTTGGGAAAATTTATTTTGGGGGAAATAAAGGGATACCCACAAAGGATGAGAAATTTACAGGTGTAGGGAACTATGAATTTCAGAAAAAATTTGAAGAAATTCTGTACAGTCGTCTCCGAAGTCTCTTCCTTTGTGGACAACCTTGTACATAGAGACATACGTTTGGGAAAACGCTGTACATTTTCCTAAAATAGTAAATTAGGTTTATAATATATACCTGCAGTTTATTGACAATAATGCAAAAGTCGTCTTTGTGATTTATTTCTTTTCCAGGATAGAGAGAAGAGGTTACCAACAGATCATACTTCTGTAAAATTATTAAGGATATAAATAGCTTCTCACCATGGACAAAGAAGGATGCAACTTCAAATAAAGATGCAGATAATTATTCAAACTCAATTCCAGATTAAGATAAAAAATGCAAATGATACATGATCCATATTATGAATCTGATTAGATTTATGAACACACGTGTATTTTTTTATTTGGATAACAAATACAGGTCAAAATTACAGATATACAGATTCAGATACATACAGATGCAGATACAGATGCAGATACAGATATATACATATGAAGATGAAGATGCAGATACAGATACAGATACACAGATACACAGATACACAGATACACAGATACACAGATACACAGATACACAGATACACAGATACACAGATACAGATACAGATACAGATACAGATACAGATACAGATGCAGATATATGTTAAAGAAAAATACCTGATCAAAGCATGCACTCATGCATAGTTTATTAATGTTCTGATTTGGGTCTCGGATACTCCTGGATTATTTTTTTTAGATAATTTTCTTTTAAAATGATTCAACTGAATTATTGTCAGTTATTAACTTTTCAAAGGTAATAATAGTTGAATATGCCATGTTCGTAGATGTAACTGTATTTTTAATGCTCGAATTGAAAGAAAACCTCTGCTTGCCTTGGAAAAAATAAGAAAAAAACTAATAATATTTTATAACACACCTGTAAAGACCTGTATTAAAGATAACATTTTGATAACAGTTTAAATCCTTTCCCATACAGGGAGATTTATTAAACTTCTGGGAGCCAGGAATACAGCCACAATCCTGGTTAAATATACAGCTCTTAATTTTATACCATGCAAATATAGTTTAACACAGAACTTGATAAAGATCGAAAGAATTTATAAAATTTCGTCCAGACAATGTGTCAATGGGTTTATATTATTATTCATAAATATCATAAATTGAATAAATCGATTATAGCCATGAAATATGCAGGAACATTTTTAAATCGCTCCAAATAATTATTCAATTAAATAACTAAATATCTGCCCCTTTCCATTATATCAGTAGGTTAAGAAGACGACATATTCTTTCAACGCATCCGAAGTTCTACAAATTTTGATTTACAGATTTTTAAAAGAAAATGTGGGGGTGGGGAGGGGTTATTTTACCTGGGCTGTTTTTTCTAGCGAAGCTTCATACAAGCAGTTGTTCATTGTATACCTGAATAATGTACATTACTTTAATGCACATTACAGTACTTGTATCCCTGACTCGTATCGTTATGAAATGTATAATTTGCCGGACAGTTTACGAACAAGGCCTTGTTCGAAAAATTTAATATGTCCTTAATGTAACTTAAATTTTTGACTTTTCTATTATTATGGCAGCAAACTTTGATTTGGTTAAAAAGTTACAAAATATCTTTAAAATAAATATTAAAAAAGTATGCTCACCTGTAATCGTCAGAGTATTTTAAGATCTCAAACCTAGAGATAAATTGATTTTATTACTAGAATTTATTTACTTTAAAGTATATTTCCGATAGTTGTGCTGAAAACAAAGGGTCCAACATGGGTACAAACTGCACTCAAAAAAAGACTGTGATTAAGACCTTGAACTATTTGAATACCTGGCATTTGTATAAGAACATAACAGTAATCTTTAAAAAGATATCAGGTACTTTCCCAAAGGGCTTTTTTTCAAGTAGCAACTTTCCAACTGTGCAATTTTCCAAACGACAACCTTCTCAGTATTTCCTAGCCAGCCGCAGAGCTCGGCCCCAGGCCAGAGCTTGGCCCCTAGCCTATTCTAACGACAGAGCCCGACCCCTAGCCTATTATAACGATAGAGCTCGGCCCCTAGCCTATTCTAACGACAGAGCCCGACCCCTAGCCTATTCTAACGACAGAGCTCGACCCCAGGCCTATTCTAGCGACAGAGCTCGGCCCCTAGCCTATTCTAACGACAGAGCCCGACCCCTAGCCTATTTAGCCGAAGCACTCGGCCCTCCTAGCCCATCCTAGCCGTAGCCATAGGTCCCCAATAGCAGCCTGCGGTGTATCAGAGGGCCTAACATAACCTTTGAGAAGTTGCCGCTGGGAAATTGAACACTTGGGATGTTGCAACTTGGAAAGTTGTCACTTGGAAAGTCGCCCATGGGAGCTGATAATAAATTGGCCGTTGTTCCTGAAACAACCTTTTTTCATAGGCGACCCCCAAAAAAAGGTTGACAATTAAATCCTCTTACGAAATGATTTGAAAAAATTGAACTCACGATATCTCCGAGGTGTTCCAGCATCGTCTGTCCACCGGAGAGAATCTTGATAATGCAACATCTGTAGTTGTGTACTGTGTAATAGAAACCGCCATCTTGAAAACAAAGAAAAAAATGTTAAAATAATTTTTTAAAATTTATTTCTTTACTTCTTTACTTTTTAGATTAAATCGGCTAGGGTATTCTAACCTGTACGGCTGAACCAATATCTATATTCACTCCACTTTGTCGCATGAGAGGCATATCCAATGGATGTATTACAGCCACCTTGGTTATGGTAATATATATATTTAGTGTACATATTTTAATGTTGTTTATTGTTTTGCATTTTGAATTTCTTTCTTTAACTTATCAGTGTCCGAATTTAATGAATTTGAGCCGCGTCGTAAATCCGCCAAAAACCGGTTTCAATTGAGCGCCGGCTTAAATCTAGAAGCAATGAATACGATTTTAAGTGTAACCAACCATATTTGAGCCGTGGCTCAGATCCTTTAAATTCGGCCTCAGGGGAAATAAAGACAACGAAACGATTGAAAACGAAAAAAGGTAAGTTTGGATTTTAAAAAAGTTGCTTAACATAAATACTATAGTATGCATCGTCCCTGACCAAACTCTGATAATTAACTCTACACCTTGTTTAAAGCCAAATATATAAGGAAAGCTGATGACAAAGGTTTTAACTAGATAATTTTCAAAAAAAAAAAAACATTATATTTCGTTTTTGAACTTGAAGTTAGGAGACCTACCTTAAACCCCTCCCCTACTCTACTTCCAACTAAGTTGTCCTCCATAGCGCTGTTATCAAAGGTTTCTAGAATGTATGAAGTCCTAATACCAATCTTATATGCTTGAGTGTTATAACATGAAACCAAAAGCTAAAGAATGATATGAATTAAACCCAATTTAATAAGAGGCCGAAAAGATCTGTTACTTCTCTAATTTATAGTGCTTACAACCTTTCGCTCATTTTTAAAAAATCAAGTTATCACTGAGATATGGAGAACTCTGACAGTTAGTCATTAAACTTTTAGACAGCCTCAACTTTAAAGTGTCGCATTGCCTTGGCCTTTTTTACCTCACCAACTCAGTAATACTTTTTTACCCCTGACAAATACATATTAAAAATGCCCTACGCTTGCATACAACTCAAGTTTTAATGGAGTTAATGGCAAAATACTGTTTTATTTTTGCGTGCCAGCGTTATTTTAGGATGTTTCCAGTGATATTTTTAGGAGTTTTCCGGTGTTATTTTTAGGATGTTTCCAGTGTTATTTTTAGGATGTTTCCAGTGTTTTTTTTAGGATGTTTCCAGTGTTAATTTTAGGATGTTTCCTGCGTCTAGTAAAAGAGAAAGACCATTATTTTCTCCGTTAAGAGCCCCTGTAGGAAGCATGCTTAGTTCCCCCTCACTTCCTAAACACGTCAAACTGGATTAGGCGAAGAACATATTTAGCAGAGGTTGGATTTGATAAATAGAAAGGTGTAGCTGATCTAGGTACGGTCTGTTAAATTACTTCTAGGTCAACTATCCGTTTCTACATACATTCTTTTTAAATTTTCGGATTAGTCCCGAAAATCGAAAATATGTCTCCGATCCAATATGATTTAAGATGTATAGACAAGGGAATTGAGAGACGACTTGAATATCGTCTTTAATTTCTGAAAATTGTTACATGACAGAATGTGCATTTGAAGGTAAAAAATGGTAGACCACATTTTTGAAATCCCGAGACAAGAAGTTTTCGGTGTTGAACGTTTTAGCTGTTATACAGCAAAATCATGTTTACGAAATAATCCCGCATAGTTCAAATAAAGTGTAAAGATAGACATATATACCGGGTTTGACTGTACTTCTTGATTTTTTATTAAATTCAGTTAAATGTTAGTGTTGTACATGATCGATATTTTCGTTTGAACGTTCTAAAAATGGTAGCTCGGAATCAGTATCATTACCGGTAAAAAGGGAAGCCTAAAATATTTAATATTAAAAAGCATTTGTGTGCATGTGAACAAATTTCAGATATTTTTGACAAGTTTATGAATAACAGCAAATGTATTAGGTACAATACAATATGAAAGAACTATAAACATTATCGTATCGGATATTCTGAAGAAAACAAGGGTGTGCTAAATTAACTATAATTTATATTTTAAAATAAAGAGCCTACAGTCTTTACAGTGTAAATGCCATTTATTTTTTCTTTCATTACTATCATGGCAAACTGTGTTAATCATGTGACGATATTGTTTTTTTTTTCTTTTTACGTTTTATTCCATAATTTGTCCAGAAATACAGGTTCAAGAACAAAATTGTTTCAAGAGTTTTAGGCTATACGACAGACAATTCGACATTTATAAAAAAAAAAATTTTTAAAGCTTAAAATACCTGGTTGCGGATTTGTATAGTAGGTCGACAACCACACACATACTCCATAATCAGTGCCAAACCCTGGCAGATAAAAATAAAATTATTATAATTTAATATCAAAGTAATTTTAATGGGCGTCAAACATTACAGAAATCCAACGTATAGAAATCGATAGGTATTGCAACAAGGCGTATTTTCAGGAATTTTTTTCATAGTTTTGAGAAATAAAACGTTTTTGTAAAACATTGTAGCTCGTCATTATCATTATCATTATTTTTATTTAACCCTATTCCTGCTGGGGGGGGGGTCAAGTTGACCCCCCCCTGTAGTTTTTTTTTACATAACTCAAAAAGTATTGGTCTGAGGCTGTTGAAATTTTCTGACTTTTCTTACATACCCAAAGCCCTCCCTTTAAGCCTAAAACCGGGCTTTAATACTAACTGCCTGAGTCCTCAGGCACACTGCCTGAATTACTGCTTTTGCCTGTAACAAACTAAATCATTGTTTTGACCCACTTTCACTTGTCAGATTTTGATAAAATTTAGCTTTTTGGAAAGCCTATGACATAAGGAAACGGATTGCACAAGTTTTGCGAAAAAAAATTGCAAATTTTTTGCAAACAACCTGTCAAAGGAAATTTGCACATTTTTAGTTTTTCTTGATTAAAAACCAGGTTATTTAAAATTTTGCAAAAATTTTTGCATATTTGAAATGGCATGGTCAAGGGCTTTTCAAAAATGTATAATTTGTCATTTTTTGGACAAATTTTTTTTTGCAAACATTTTTACTATAAAACTGGATTTTGCGATAAAAAATTCAATTTTCACAAATTTGCAAATTTATTTGCAGATTCTAAAATTAGAGCACAAGAGCTTTCTAATGATGTATCATGTGTCATATTTGGACATAAAACATGGGATTTAGAGGGGGGGGGGTCAAATTGACCCCCCCCCCAGCGTATCCTGGTTTTCAAGTACCCCAGCAGGGATAGGGTTAACATACCCTAGACACTATAACTAACTACAGGGTGTCCCACATCAAATTAGACCACGTCAATGGGTCTAAATTACGATTTGGGGGACAAATCAGAAAATTTAAGAAGAATGAATCATTTTGAAAAATTTAATAAGGCTAATAGATTTTTTTTGTGCAGAAAATGCTAGATTTTTTGAGTATAATGTGCGTATTTAAGTGTTAAAGATTGCAGGAGATAATCTAATATGATATGGGACGCTGTAGATTAATATGTACATGTGAACTGCTCTCTATTGTGTTTAAGGTCCCCCCAGATTTTCATGTACTGACAACATAAATGAATGATTATATGGTTACATAAAATTGCATGTTACTATTTAAAAAACTATTTTATGAAAATGATATGTACAGCTTTATTTTTACAAAAATAATTTCTCAAAAAATAAAACAAAAATTCTGTGTTACCATTTAAATAAAAGATTTTATGAAAATTATATCTACTTTACACGGATTATTTAATTTCTCAAAAATATAAAAAATATTCTCCCGGAAAATACGCCTTAAGTTGCTATACCTAGCGATTTCTATACGTTGGATTTCTATAATATTTGACGCCATTTTAATGGCTGCCTTTAAAGAGTCCATCCAAATAAGAATTTTTAATGGTTACATAGAGAGCACTAATATTTGCTGCTAATCAAATCTTTTTGAGAAGCCGTGAATATGAATCTCTCCTATTTTATTGTCGAGTCTGTCTGCAGAATTACACTTTTTTATTTTAAAAAGGCCCTCGACCCTCTCAGGTGACAGAAACAAATCTTTTTCAGTAGTTAATACACCCTTCTAAGTTTTAACGGAGTGTTATTTAAAAGTTCACATAGATCCTATATAAAACGTTGTATATTTTTCATTTTTTTTTGACTGTGTTGAAGGGTTGCAACTCCCTAGCCTTTGATTTACCTCAACAACTCAATTAAACGTTGTTGTTGTTGTTGTTTTTTACATTTAAGAACTATGCATCACCTGATTTTAGCGTCAATCTTAAAGAGGTAATTGGAAAAATTCGCATCAATTTTTGCGTGAGAATTAGCACACATAGGATTACTGTGAGTTTACAATACCTAGCTGTTGAAATGTTGATTTTGTATTATTTATCTGAGTCGAATCAAACCCATTCCATTGAATATAAGTAACAAGTTGTTCTATCTGAAATAAAAACATTCAACGAATTTTAAAGATAAGCAATTCAATTTTTCAAAATTTTATCTTTAGAATTAATAATTATTAAAGAAAAGTTTCTTACCTCCCATTGACTTGCAAGGTTGGCAAAAAAGTTTTTATGATACAACGCCTAGACAAATAAAATAAAGTTAATAGTTAAATAGTTATCTTCCATGACGATAACTGCTCATTCAATTAGATCTTAAAACAGAAATTGTTACACTCATTCTCTCCGCGCATGGGAGAAAGACTTCTCAGATTTGCTAAAACTAATGATCGGTAGAGTTTAATTGGTTTATTGTTAGTCAACACTTTTGGTACAAGAAAAAGTTCATTTTGATTTTAAATATAATTTAACCCATGTTGCCCAGGGGAGTAATAGTTAGTCCCACCGATCACACGCGCTTTGTCATAAATTAGAATTTTAGTTATTTTTCCCGTTAAATTGGACCAACTTATTGCAGAATCTAAAAACAACATTCCCGGGCACCCCCGAGTTCCCCAATCAAAGTTTGAGGCAAATCGGTCTAGGGGGTTGCTGATTTATGATCGGAAAAACAAACAAACAAACAAACAGAGATTACTACTTTATATATACAGATGCTATTCATTTACTAAACCTTGTTTTCCATAGTATAATTTCCAGCTATACTCCTAGCAGGTCTACATATAGAACAGATATAAAGATTTACTAAACCTTGTTCTCCTTAGTATAATTTCCAGCTATACTCCTAGCAGCTCTACATATAGAACAGATATAAAGATTTACTAAACCTTGTTCTCCTTAGTATAATTTCCAGCATATACTCCTAGCAGGTCTACATATAGAACAGATATAAAGATTTAATTCTGCTTCAGGGTTTAAAACCATTTATCAAAATGATCGATACTAACACAGTTTCCTTCTATTTGGTAAAAAAAATTGTTCAAAAGTTTAGATCTTTATAATCCTGATCTGATCATAGTTGATCAATTTTCCATTCGTCATATTAACAATTCTTGGATTATCATTCTCATTCAGAAACTTTCTGGAGTTCAACTAACATTTATATGTCATTATTATTAACAACTTTAAGTAATGGTAAAGTTATCAACTATTGATGAGAAACTTTAATCTCTTTACAGGAAGGCAGTAGGGATGTAATATTCCTTTAAATCAAATGAATCCTAAAGAATTTGTCCACAACACTTACATAGCCGGACTGTCCCTTTAATATGTATTATTTTAGAAGGAAAACACATTCTTGTCAAATTGTGAAATTTTGGTTATTGAATTTTGTATCAAAACTAATTAAATAATTGAATTCATGTACCTCTCCCAACCCCCCTCTGTCTCTGTAAACAAGATTAAGGGGTTGATGAGTTGGATCGAACAAACAAACAAACGAAAACCAAAACAGAGATATCTACTTTACATGGATGTTGTTTTCCTTGTTAAATAGGGTATTTTTTAAGTTTCTGATTATTGGGGCGCAAAGTCGACATATTGCAAGTTGTCTCCTGAAGTACTCCTCGAAGAAGTTGCTGTTGATGATGGTGTCCAGGAGCTCCTGCCTCTCCTGGGTTATATTATGCTCTCGTCCCATTACAAATTCTTCCATCACTGCAAACACCCGCATTAAGCTAATTATTCTCTTAACAAACTCAGAAAGATAAAAAACAATTTTTGAATTTAATCATTTGTTTAAAAACCTAAGCTTGCGTAATAGGAACTATAATCTCCGACTTCTTCTACATAAAAGTTGAGCAATGACGTGTTTTAAAAGTATTATTGTATATCTAACTTGGGAACCCAGCGCTGCCAAGGTTACTAAAAGTTTCTCCCACCGTTTACACGCAATTTAAACGATTTTACCGGGAAACACAATTTTAGCTATTAAAGTCGACCCACTTTACTAAGATTCTCAAAACAAAGCTAAGAACATTTCCGTGGGTCTCTAGAGTTCCCCAGTCAACATTTGAGGCAAATCGGTCCAGGGGTTCCTGAGTTATGTTCGGACAAACAAACAAACAGACAGACAATTAACCAGAGATTACATTTTTACACAATGGATAATTTTGGTTAGAATTAAGACTATTTGTTTACAATGTACAGTACAAAGTGCAGTAACAGAAGATTTACCTTTATAAAGAGCTAGTTACGCTTTGGTTCAGGGGAAACATGCATTACAAAATTATGTACATACAGAATCATAAATAATTCAAAAAAGGATTCGCGTTTTTTATTAAATTTTCATGAATGAAAATCAGGAAAAATCAGGAAATCTAATTTTCTTAAACGGAATCCACAATTAAGCATTCTGAAATCTGCATGCCATTGCCAGTGTACCATAAAAATTAAATTTCAAAATCTGCACTTTTAAGTAAAAAAGTATATTTCTATATAAAGTTTTTTTTTACTCTACCAGTACTTTACTATATTAATTAGACAAAATTAAACTGTTTGCTTATTCAGAATTTAATTAATTGTTTTATAAAAAAAAGAGACAGACCTATATAAATTAACTTATCACCGAATCAAAATAATCTGATATATTAGTTTTAAACTATCCAACTATCCTATTTTTATCAAGGTAGAGTTAATGTTAAAGATTGTTCAAGTTTAAGTGTCTAATGATCATGCTTGTTAAATCTGCTTACATAGCCTTCCTAGGGAATAAATATCTTGAATTGGAACCTTCACTCCCATCTTCTTTAAACTCTCGTGAACAAAATAAACAAAACTTTTCCTAAAAATAAAGAAAACAAGTTATGTCAATTTTTAATAATATTTTTTTTAAGTATCAGTGAATATTTGTATTCTTGTAAAAAGTTTGATTTTGGTCTATGTAACGTCACTAGTTTGCTTTAGGTCTATAGGACGTCACTAGTTTGCTTTAGGTCTATAGGACGTCACTAGTTTGTTTAAGGTCTACAGAAGTCACTAGTTTGCGTTAGGTCTATAGGACGTCACTAGTTTGCTTTAGGTATATAGGACGTCACTAGGTTGCTTTGGTCTACAGGACGTCACTAGTTTGCTTTAGGTATATAGGACGTCGCTAGTTTGTTTAAGGTCTACAGACGTCACTAGTTTGCTTCAGGTCTATAGGACGTCACTAGTTTGCTTCAGGTCTATAGGACGTTACTAGTTTGCTTTAGGTCTATACTCTATAGGACGTCACTAGTTAGCTTTCGGTCTATAGGACGTCACTAGATTGGTTTAGGTTCATAGAACGTCACTAGTTTGGTGTATGTCTATAGGACGTCACTAGTTTGGTTTAGGTCTATAGGACGTCACTAGTTTGTTCAGGTCCATAGGAGGTCCCTAGTTTGGTTTAGGTCCATAGGACGTCACTAGTTTGCTTTAGGTCTATAGGACGTCACTAGTTTGCTTTAGGTCTACAGGATGTCACTAGTTTGCTTTAGGTCTATAGGACGTCACTAGTTTGTTTAAGGTCTACAGACGTCACTAGCTTGGTTTAGGTTCATAGGAGGTCCCTAGTTTGGTTTAGGTCTATAGGAGATCCCTAGTTTGGTTGTGAAAAAATAGTATGTAAGGTACATTATAGATTGGAAGCGTCATATAAAGCACAATGATACTGTAAAGGGGGCAATTATTTGTCTTTAACAAGTTTCTAATAGTGTATATGATGCATTTATAATTTCTCTTCTTTTAAACTTTACCTGAACGGGCTAAACAGGATGAAAACTTTATTCAATTGGATATTTAAGTTTATAATTAAAAGAATTGTAAACGTAGTTTTTAAATCTATCTGGGAAACGATAGTAAATATATCGATATTTTACGATGAGCTGAATCTCGTCCATTTTCTCATTTCCTTGTCATTAAAAGCTGTGAGAAAATTGTTTGATTATTTAAAACTAAAATAAATTAATAAATTAATTTTTGGCATGATTGATTTGCTTGAAATCATGTTGGCATTATTTTTGGAATTAATTTGGCAGTTCACGTGAAAATCCATTTTTAGCCAGAATATTCTGGAAAGACAGGAGGCAAAAAGTGGAAAAGGAACATGTTATTGTAAACAACTATGATAAATATTAAACCATGAAATTGTAAAATTAATGTTTACACAATACTCTGACATCAAATACAAATACAAATATATGTTGAACACATAGTATTTCCATAAATTTTTTCAAAATTAAATAATAGTTTCATATTTGAATAAAGGTTAATCCTGATGTTGCAAACCACCAGGGAAGGAAAAAACACATCATCTGAAAAAATTGTAAATTTCAATAATTTTGATATTAAAACTAATAAGATTATGTATAATACAGAGCTACCCAAAAATGAGGAGAATTCAAAGAAGACTGTATAGAATCTATTCCATTTTGACTCATATGTTACGTAATTTTATGAATATCTGCAACAATACATTTAAAAAAGTGTTTATTATTTGCAGCAAACTGTATGAATTTAATTTCTAAATCAAAAAACTTAGTTTACAAAAATTAAATCAACATTTAAAATTTGTGAATTAAACTTGTGTCTCTGGTCGTATCCTTCAAGGAGACTGCAGACGTAATTTCGGCTCAACTATAATGCCCTATTCACAAGGATACCCTTTAGACGTACCTTTCTCTGAGATATAATGATTGTAAAATTCCTATAAAAAATGAGTTGTGGGATTGTTGTTGCAAAGGCTAAGAAAGAAATTGACATGATTGATCTCTTTTCAGAATAGAAAAAGAACTACTGCTTTCTTATTTTTCTTTACATAATCTGCCGTGGCTGTAAATTGTCTTGAAAAAAATGTCGACAACTGCCTCCAATGTGAACAGAAAATCTTTAACAATTTGTGTTCATTGGAGAACGAAAAAATAAAGCCACTAAAAAGGAACATTTAAACACCAAAATTATCAGAGAAGGGGCTAAAAGCCCCCGAAAAGCCTAGTACAAGATAATTACCAAGTGGTTTTGCACGCTGGGTGATTGAAATTGCAGTTCTAGCCTTTATAAACTGATCTACGGTCAGATGTAGTAATAATCCCATACTTATCAGGGAACCTAAATATAAAATCTGTATTCTGTATCTGTATCTGTATCTGTATCTGTATCTGTATCTGTATCTTTATCTGTATTCTTTATCTGTATCTGTATCTGTATTCTGTATATGTATATGTATCTGTATCTGTATCTGTATCTGTATTCCGTATTTGTATCTGTATCTGTATCCGTATCTGTATCTGTAGCTGTATTCTGTATCTGTATCTGTATCCGTATCTGTATCTGTATCTGTATCTGTATCTGTATTTGTATCTGTATCTGTATCTGTATCTGTATCTGCGTTAGTACATTACCTAATATTGCAAGAATCCAGAAAACTTTCTTGAGCTTTGACTTTCTGTTAATTAAACAAAATTTATAACCTTTTTTAAATAACTTTAAATAAGAAATAATAAAATTAATGGGAAATTTGAAAGCTAAAAACTACATGGACCAGATTTATTGGTTAAGGTAAAAACTACATGGACCAGATTTAATGATTAAGGTAAAAACTACATGGACCAGATTTATTGATTAAGGTAAAAACTACATGGACCAGATTTATTGATTAAGGCAAAAACTTCATGGACCAGATTTATTGATTAAGGTAAAAGTTCAACTACGTGTATTAAATTGAACCACATCTGTTCAGCTTGCCCCGGAGTACATGAGAGCTGGTTGAACCGGTGGTATGCGGTTCAATTATTTCTTGATATTCATTAAATCTAGTCCCTGAAGAGTTAAATTAGGACAATCACAATTTACATCATTTAAAAATTTTAATTCGGACAAAACCAGATATGAAGTGGACGGGGTCAAAACTAAACCCACCCCCAAAAAATCCAAAATCACGTAAAAAAAAGAAAAGGAATTTGTATCCAATATCACGCTGGATGGTTGAATTATGAATCCGAGATTATTTTGTTACCATGAATTATAATGAATAAAAGCAAGTGTTCACAAAACCATGAAAATAAATTATAAACATAAATGATTAAAGAAAGTGTTCACAAAATTATGAACATTAAATATAATGATTAAAGAAAGTGTTCACGAAATTATGAACATGAATTATAATGATTAAAGAAAGTGTTCACGAAATATGCATGAACATGAATTATAATGATTAAAGAAAGTGTTCACGAAATATGCATGAACATGAATTAGGATGATTAAGGAAAGTGTTCACAAAATTATGAACATGAATTATAATGATTTAAGAAAGTGTTCACGAAATTATGAACATTAGTTATAATGATTTAAGAAAGTGTTCACGAAATTATGAACATGAATTATAATGATTAAAGAAAGAGTTCACGAAATAATGAACATTAGTTATAATGATTTAAGAAAGTGTTAACGAAATTATGAACATGAAGTTTACTGATCAAAGAAAGTGTTCACGAAATTATGAACATGAATTTTACTGATCAAAGAAAGTGTTTACGAAATTATTAACATGAATTTTACTGATCAAGGAAAGTGTTCGCGAAATTATGAACATGAATTTTACTATTTAAAGAAAGTGTTCACGAAATCATGACTTTTCTATTTCTACCAGATGTTTGATCATGGCTGAAATGTATCGCTGTTACTACATGAATTAACCATTTTGGCTATTAATTTTTCATCTCTTTGTAAATATGGCGGACCACGTAGCAAGGTTCACGAATGAATTTATTTAAATAAATAATGTTCCTAGAATGGGGTAAATAAGACCAGCCATGCAACGATGTCTGCTCGCAGAACCTGCCTGTAATCAATTAATCAAATTATATTCTCAATTGATCAGATAATTTGTATCATAAAAGTTTTCTTTTATCTTTTTTATATTAACTATTATTGACTATGGTCCCGGGTCATTAGAAAATATATAAATTTATCAAAATAGTCACAAATAATTAGATTTCTAAAAAAGACGACATTTCAATCTGAACAAGTAAAAGACAGTTTTACAGGTTGTCTTAATAATTTTTTAACCAATTACTTTTGTTAAGGTTTTTCATGAAGAAGTAATTAAAAATTGTACAAAATTATTTTTAACAGAATAGGAGATTTACCACACCATGCCCACAATACGGCATTAAAACCCAAAGAAAATTATAAAGTTGTTAATTCTATATTTTGTCCAGAATCTTCATGTATACTTTGCTTGTCTGTCAGGATGTTTGTCTGTCCGCTTGTATCTAACTAGGTTTTTAGGGCGCTTCGCGCACATCTTCTATTTAAATTGTGAACATGTTTTTTTGTCTACATTTTAAAACAAAGAAGAAAAAAATTTCGCGGATTTTTTACAACATTAAAAACCTTTAAAACACATTTTTTTTTAATTTTTATCATTCGTAAACACAAAAAAATTTGGGCCCGATCGGTTCGGCCGTTTTGACGTTTATTGGATACAAACAAACAAACACCCAGACAAACAAACCGACAAACAAGACAAATCTAATAAACGTCAAAATGGCTGAAACGATCGGGTCAAATATTGTTTGGGACCTAACAAGACCTCAGTGAAGGTTTATGGATGCTCAAAATTACAAAAATGTGTGTCGAAAAGTTATTAATTTTTGTTAAATTTTTAAAATGCGCTTAAAGAAATATTGTTTTTGTTTTACATAGGTTTAAATAGAATATGGGCACGCTCCACCAATGCGCCTAGTATCTTAAAAAACCGACTCTGAGTCTGAAAGAGCTAAATAATTTTTCAAAACTTTAAAAATTAAATGATATGATTAATTCTTCCCGAATCCTGCCATTATTCTTAGCTTCTTAATTTTCCTAAATCCAGGAAGACGACATTTTAATAAGGTTTATTTTACACTCTACATGCATAGTTACCCACAAAGGATGAGACTGTCAAGACGACCGGAAACTCTTAAAATATGACGATCCCAAGGTTAAACAAAGTCGCCTGCCTAAGGACTAAGATAAAAGAATCTAATAGCTCTGTTTAATGACTTGGCAAAGAAAAAAGCAAGTTTGTTGTTACAGGGAATGTGTACAAAAGTCGGAATTACACCATCAAATCTTCAAACTTGACTACTTTCAGATCGTCTCTAAAATATTATTCTTCGTGTGTAATCCTGTACATATTCTTTAATGAATATGATTCTTGAAATAATTTTTATTTTTATTTTTTGTCCCTGGCTGTAATTAAACAAAATGAATTAAATGCTCGTCTTTCCTTACTAAACCCTGATGAGCTTCATGGTTTAAACACCTTGTGTCTTCAAGGAACCTTGTTTACTGAACTTTTTTCTATGTTTTGTAAAACTCCGATATGTAATTATCTAGTCAACATGCATAGACATTAGACAATACCTGTAACTCAACCTAAAATATGGAATTTATCGTGTCGGAAAAATACAAGCAAAATCAATATTTATTTATTATTTCAAGTTTATATTTATCAACGGAAATTAGTTGAAATTATTTTGAACTTCCATTCATACCTGGGGCTTAATCTTAATACTCAAAGATTTTCTTCCGATTGTATGTGGGGAATTTCTGAAACTGAGTTTTTGGCACAAAACTCAAGCTTATTCATCTTTGCAACCTGATGGTGTAATCCTTTGATTTTTTAAACTAAGAAATTATTTGATTTGACAGATAATTCATGTTTTAATTTTCTGAGGTCTATCACTGCACATTGGGTTGCATTGCAAAGAACTTCAAATTATCTACCCCTCTTTGCAACAAGATGTAATCCTTTGATATTTCAAAATAAGATCTAACAGAATTCAAAGGTCTACCAAATTGGGTTGCAAAGATAAAGGGATTATAAAATTAGAGTTTTGGAAAAGACTTAATTCCTTAATTCCTTAATTCCTTAATTCCTTAATTCCTTAATTCCTTAATTCCTTAATTCCTTAATTCCTTAATTCCTTAATTCCTTAATTTTAGCAAAATTGACGTGTCTAGTGTAAAATTGGTTGTAAAGGCTGGACAATGGAAATATCTAAACTCACCGCCCAACCATTTATATAAAAATCATATTTCATCAAACTCAATTCATTGACGTAGGTACAGACAGGGGGTCTCACGGACAAGTTTTTAGGATTATAGGAAATATAAAATGTAGCAAAAAATATATTTTAATTCAGCGACAATTTGAGGAAAGTATTGTTAAGCTCTTCACAAAATCAAGTTTGCGAATCCTTGTATCTGAACAACCTGATGGTGTAAACCTTTGACAGTTCAACCTTTGACTTAATGTTCTAACCTAACTTATAGTTCAAAATACGAAAGGTCTAAGACAAAGGGTTGCAAAGAGACATAGATTATAAGTTAAAGGGGCTGTAAGCAGAATTTTACATAATCTTCCATTCAAAGATGACAATGCTCGATTTACAACGGTACCCTTAAAAACTTTTTCTGACTAAAGATGAATTAGATATGCATCTTTTGTTTTTTTTTATCTTATTTTACGATTTCTCTGCATTTATGACAAGCAATGGAGAAGATATCAGGATTAAACACTGTTCGATTCAGAAAAGCAACGGTATCTTCCACATTAATGATCAGATTAGGGTTTCAAGGGTACCGCTGTTGTAAGTCTCGGGCATTGACATCTTTGTATGGAGGCTCACTTGAAATTACGTTTACTGTCCCTTCAACCTTAAAAGGCTGGGGATCAAAAGTTGAGCATATCTTGGGAGTTGGGCATCCACATACTAGATATACACAAACTGCTCATAAGCTCTTATGAGATAGGCTATACAGGCCTATTGTTGTCCCGGTGTTACATGCTACATTTCTTTTTTGACTGCCATCTAACGGCCATTTGCATATGATACCCATTCAGGAGCTAAGTATTACAATTTTTAATTTACTTTAAACATAACACATAAATCTATGAATTTATTCTATTCTATATTGAAGGCTTTGTATTTTGCATTAAAAGGATCCTTAAATATCCCTGAGTACAGAAGTCTGTTTATTGGTCCTGTACTCCAATTGTACACAATGAAACCTGCTGCAGTGGAAAATATTGCATATTCTAGCCTTTAATAGATCTCTGTACTCTCTTTTCTCTGAGGGTATTCAAAGGCCTCCCTTTCCCCTCTTTTTAAGGTAAAGAATCCCGTATTTTTATTACCGGATCTAAAGTAGGGTAGTCTAGAGAATGTTAGGTACTTTCCTACAGGATTTTTCCCAAGAGGCAACTTCACAAGGATATTTTCCCAAGTGGCAACTTCCCAAATGTGCAATTTCCCAAGCGGCAACTTCTCAAGATTATCCCAACCGCAACGCTCGGCCCCCAGCTTGTTCTAGCTGCGGCGCTCGGCCCCCTAGCCCATCCTAGCCGCAGCGCTCGCCCCCCCCCATTACAGCCTGCGGCGCCTCAGAGGGCCTAACCTAACCTTTGGGAAGTTGCCACTTGAGAAATTGCACATTTGGGAAGTTGCCACTTGGGAAATTGTCACTTGGGAAGTCGCCCTTGGGAAAATGCCTTTGGGAAAGTACCTAACACCGTCTAGAGCCCTAATACCGGATCTAAAGTAGGGTCTGATTATTTTATAGACCGGAAACAATGCATTTCTTTTAATTGTTGAGAATGGCTAGTTCTGACTAAAACCAGAGGTTACAACCACCATTCCCTTTTTACCTTTAAGGGACTGGATACGAAATATCAAGTGTCCCTGCACTTAAAGATCCATAACTGTTTTCTTTAACTAAAATTGACGGAGTTATCCTTTTTTCAATTACAAATTGATTATTTACAATTCCAATTTCTTATAACAGCGGATTTATGTAGAATAAACAAGGTACACAAGTTGACAGAATTGATTTTTCAAGATAGTTCAGTCCTTAATATTACTTAGATTTAAATTAAAGGATCATCATTGTGAATTGAGCTTTTTAAAGAAGGGCATTTGATAATAAATCTACAGTTCCTTGAATATTTATTCATGATTTTTATTTGATTTTTTTTCCTTCAATCTGTTTAAATAGGATCTTTCAGTTTTCGCTTGTCAAGTTTCTGTAATCTCTGATAAAAAGGAAAATACACAAATTACAATGTCTTTAACATAGCTGTAAGATTCGAGTAGAATAGAATACGGACAGACGGAAAAGGAGAATGAAGAGAGTGGGAATGGGTAAAGAGAGAAAGAGGGGGGGGGGGGGGTGGAAGGTTAGGTATGTTGGGGAAGTTAGTGTTAATTCATCCTTTCCTGATCTCGATGAATAGGTACCATAATTAACTGGAAACTCAGGTCAAAATAATCTATTTCAGAATATTCAACAATTACATTTTCCATGAGAAAAAACCTTGTTAAAATATCTCAGATATAGATTTTGAGAAGGAATGTATAGAGAATATAGAGCCCTGAATGTGAAGCGAATTCTATCCGTTTCATGAGTATTTTGGGATAAAATGAGTTAGGGACAAATATACCGCACTAAACTATCTATAGGTTCAAAAAATAAGATTAAATACATTTCAAGGACATCATTTTTTTAAATGAAAAATTATTTTGATGGAAGTACTGTGGCCCTCCCTTTAATCGTGTTTCATGATTTGCAAGTGATATTTTGCAAGGGGGGAAGAATGAATGAGCATTAGGGTTGAAAATAATATGTGAATTGAGGAACAAATTTAAAACCTGAAAAAGTATGAAAGATTAAACAGTATGAATAATGGCTGTTGAATCCAACAACAAAGTAAATATTTGAAAAACTTATGGAAACCTACGGGCAAAACTTTTGATTGCGGAAATGCGCTTAACTTCAGGACTAAACTCGAT